TATTTCACACAAACTCTTCATTGCATTGAATTTACTCTTCATTTCAGTAAACGAAACACTCATTAAGTTTGAACACATTTTAAATTAAACAAAATCCACTTAAACGCAAAAATCAATAATTTAATTTAATTTACATCAATACAAGTGAAATATAAAATGGAAACAACGAAATAAAGGTGTAGTTACAGGTTATATGTTGTGCTAAGAAAATCATTGCCACGTGTTTTCAAAACTATATTTTATTGATAACAAAAAACCTGTTCCCAGATATCAATCATAAGATCTCATCAAAACTCATACAACGATTCAATGATAAACATATAAATGTTATATTAATTAATTATAATAATCACTTCATAAGCCTTCGTATGACTTTGCAAATTGATTGTCTAAAGTTTGTAATAATTTGTTTGGATTTAATTCAACTATTTTGGTATTAAATCCTTACTTTCTTTGTCTGTAAATTCAATTTGACACAGGGCATATCCTGGATCAATTATTTATTGATGCAGGATATGCATTTCCTTTAATACAAATGGAAATTACATTATTTTTGTTACAATTAATTCACTTCCTTTTATATGAATTTTATTTATAATAGTAATTTAAATAGTGATTATATTGATTATGTAAAGTTCTAACTTGTACAGTATGCCTTATGTAAATATGCTTGTAATAATACACCTGGATTAAATACACTAATAATTGCAATCATAATAAAATCCCAAGTTATTACCTTTATTTTGTAATATGTGCAAATATATTAATTATCTATTTATGGTACATAGTAACTATTTTTAACCAAGATAACGCGATTTAAAAATACACTGTTTGTAATATAATATTTAGCACACGTTATTTGGTGACAAAATGATGCACATGCACCATGAATAAATAATCTATACAGTTAATTATAAAACGAGTAAATGAAATTTTACATTATTATATTAGAGTATTCAACAATAAATTTAAACATTTTATCCCATTTTTACTAATTTAATAAATGATTGCAAAAAATATTATATTATTATTATTTGCGTTAATAAGCATTGAATACACGGTTTGTGTTGAAGTGAACACAACCTCTGGTGTAGTGAAAGGTCTGACTATCGATGTGTTGAACACAAGTGTTGATCAGTTTTTGGCCATACCTTATGCCGAACCCCCGGTAGGGGTACTCAGGTTTGCCAAACCTGTGCCACTCAAACATGCGATCAAGGTAAATTTATAACTAACTGTACAATTAATTATAACATGAACAAATATATTGTAAGTAATAAATTTAATTAAAGCCACACATCGATGGCAGAGCACCGGGCAATTCATGTGTACAGAAATTCATTAAAGAGCTTGAATTTGATCGCATGGGAAATATTACCAAAAGCGAGGACTGTCTGGTGTTAAACGTATGGACCCCTACTGTCCGCACCGGTGACCGACAGAAAGCACACCTAAAACCGGTCATGTTTTGGATATACGGCGGAGCTTTTCTTATTGGGTCTATATTTCAACAGCAATACAACGCTAGTCTATTGGCCGCACACAATGTGGTGGTTGTGTCCGTCAACTATAGGTTAGGACCGTTTGGTTTCCTATACGGGGATCGGGAGGACGCGCCCGGAAATGTCGGACTCTATGACCAGTTATTGGCACTCAAATGGGTATTAATTGATCGCTTAATTTAACACTAATTTTTATTAATTAATGACATAATAATAGGTTAGAGAAAACATTTACTCATTTGGCGGAGATAGGGATCAGATCACCATTTTTGGTGAGAGCGCCGGCAGTCAATCAGTTTCCGCACACATACTCTCCCCGCTATCTAAAGGCCTATTCAAAAGGGCTATTATACAAAGCGGTGCCCTATTGTTCAATAAAGCCAGAGATCCTATGGTTAAGTCCGAAGCATTGCTTTTAAGCAAAGGTTTGGCCGAAAATATGAATTGTAGTTTAGATGAAAACAAATGGTTGGACTGTTTGCGAGGTTCTGCGGCTCAGGAGTTGATAGAGGCGTCCGACGGCCGGCCACAAGTGGTCACTCTATTTGACACCGAATTTCTGCCAATGAACGCACAGCACATGTTTAAACAGCGGTTATTTAATAAAGGTATAAATTTTAGGCTTTCGGATAATTACATCATAGTAATTTTATTTAAATATCTTACTATGTACAATTATTTATGCTAAACTCATTAATGTGAAATTATTTCTATTGAGTTAGATTTGGATATAATGGCTGGTGTTATGAGAAACGAGGGCTCAATTTTAGGCCAGGGAGTGGTTAAACCAAATCTAACCGTAAATGACTTTAAAGAGTTTGTGTCACTTATGAACACAATTCACCACAATATCGACGAAAAACGTGTCATTGATTTCTATCTACAATCGATTGACAAAAACAGTTCCGATGCCTTAAAATGGACTGAATATGACATTTTTGGTGACCTTCTTATGACGTGTCCGACCTATAGGTTCGCCAAAGCGTACGCCCAGTTGGGAGGCGCCGGTGGTGTGTATTTCTATGAGCAGACATATCAACGCAAATCATTTTTAGATGAAAAACTCTATGGAGTGACACATCAGGCGGACGTTGACTATGTGTTTGGTTCACCGCTTTTGTATACGACAATCACTGACACAACAATTGATACACAATTTAGTCTACAAGTTATGAAATTGTGGACAGATTTCGCTAAATATGGGTCAGATTTTTATAAAATTATAATTTATTATCTTTTGTCTAATTTTATAAATTTTGTTTAACAATAGCCGACCGAACCCTAAATGGCCTAAACTTGTAGACAATAAAAGTGGAGATTTAGTGCCAAAAGTGCTTGAATTAAATCCAAACAAATTATGGCATATTTTGGATAATCTGTTTGCAAAGACATGCGATGGCTTATGGAGTGATTATTATAATTAATTGCAAATTATTTAAATATTATCAAATGTTGATTTAACATTACTTACGTTAATTTACTAATAAAAAATAATTATATGTATAATAAAAAGATTACCAATTTATTTGATTATTGTAATACTCAATTAATATTTTACCACTTTAATAATATTATTGAGCTATTTAATGTACAATACAATTTTGTACACCTGCTTGAAATTATTTTGAAAATATGATATTAATCTTGTATTGAGGTTAAAAATAACATTTATCTATTTATGGTATATTTGAACTAATTGTTACAAAGATAACACTATTTTATTAATTTTATAAATAATTTTAATTCAATACGGTTCTATTTAAATTAAGTTTACTTAATATCAATTGACAGCTTAAAACTTTAGTTAAGGGGACGTTCACAAATTACATTCGCATTTTTTCAGAAATCTAGATCCCCCCCTTTGAAATGTATTGAATGTGTGTTTTTGCACACGGGTTTTCTTTCAATACATTTCAATGCAATTTATTTCAGATGGTACGAAAATAACTACGTCGGCCTAATGAAAAATGGTCAAAATAGTAATATGTAGCCATTTAACAATTATAACGTTCGCATTTAAACAATTTAAAGAGTTTAAGGGATTAATTTTTATTAAAGTTAATCTTTTGATAACAACAGTTTGATAACAAACTTTGAGTAAATATCGGTATATGACTTTTGAATAGAAATAGTTTTAATTCCAGATATTCTATGTCTTCAATGGGG